AGCTTTCTTAGAATTTATAATTTGTTTATTTCAAGTGGTATATCATATTTCTTTGTTTCTACATAGTTTCTTTTACTTATCCTTATATGCGGATTTACTTTTATTGATTGTTGAATGAAATTGATTTCACAGAAACACTTATTTCTTGTAAAGCCATAGAAAGTATAGATATAACTGTTAGAATATTGTTTCTTAAAGCTAATTCTCTAAATTCTTTTTTTATCTTCAAAATGTTTACTCCTATTTTATGAGTTATGGTGAAGTAAATATACGTTTCTAAATTCAGAAGATTTTTTTTCTTTCAAATGCATTACTGCGTGAAACTGACCTTTTGATTGTTTTTTGCATTGATATTTATAATTTTTATTAAACCACGAGCTATGGCAGATTGCCACTATGATGAATATCTAAGTCTTTTAACAATCAACTCTGAGCACCATTTGCATCACATATTTACGTCCCTAGCACCGAGGGACGTAACAAAAAAACCCTCATATCTTTGTTAAAATAATCGAATTATTTTGTACTGGAGAAATAGCAAGCAATGTGTGATTTTGGACTGATTCTTGCACAGTGTAAAAGGTGTTCAGGCTGTTTGGATTTGGCACATTGTCAGAAGGTACCCTAAGTGGCCCTTCATTATTAATATCATTGCATATTCTCTGCAGACTCAGAATATTGGGGAGTATGATATTTAAAGGGAACATTATTAATAAGCATATCCACCCTTGGTTGCATCTTTGTTCTGTGAGTTCATTTTTAATTTTATTTATAAATTCCTAAGTTCATAAATATTGACACACTACACTTACCACTTACGCAAGAATTGCAACGCACAAATACAATTAAAGTAACAACTATTTAGAATCAGTGGCACCCACATGATTTCAGTGTAGTGATAAACCAGGATGTAAACGGCATGGTGTGCTTTATGATAAATGAGCATATGAGAGGCCTGTTTCTCAATGGTCCTTGTGACAGCCTACGACAATTAGCCCGAATGAATGAGCTTAATTTAGAATTTTAAATTATTTATTAATTTTACTGTTTGCTACAATTATCGTTACACTATTTACCAATCAGAACAGAAATCCTCCCGTAGTATCACAATCACTGCCGTGATTACTCTGATGAATATTGGCTGAAAAATTGTGAGGAGGAAAGTAGAAGATGTTGGAAGTCAAAGGTTTTTTGTGGTTTTGGAGAGATTCTGGGAGAGGAGAGAGAAGAGGCTCTGCCAACAGCAGGAGGGCAGCAGGAAGCAATTTCCTGCAGACTGGAAAGAGGCTGAGGTCGGGGCTCTGGAGAAGAGGTGTCCCATACGCTGTTTCATGTCAGTGACTCATAGAGGAAGCAAGTCCTCAGAGACATGGCTGTGTGGTGCCTAGGGAGGCTGCTACCTGATAAAGCAAGATACAGCAGGGCTGGGGAAAGGGCAAGAACAATAGAGCCTATGTGTGATGCGGATGGAGACTTGAAAGTCAGAGTGGTAGGATAATGGAGTCATTTTCTTGTTGAAATTTTCTTTTGATGTAGAGGCTCCTAGTTCTGGTGATGCTGGGCTAGATAATTCAGATCAATCCTCCCACTGAACACAATTTAAAAAGCTGAATGATATATATATATAAACATCTTATAAGTATCAAATACTTAACAAGAGAGTAAGGGGTGACCGGGGTCAAGTTCTGAGAGTGGTTGGGAATCCAGAGACGTCAGCCTAGTACTTGCCGCTAATTTTGCCCCAGGGTCATTTGCTAGTCTGGAGGAGGTAGCTGAGAGGCTGAGCTGTGCTTCTAGTGCTTTGTAGAACTGGGAACCGAAGCCAGAGTCCAAGGACCACCATGGCTTGGGACTTGATTACTTACCTGCTTTGGCCTGGGATCCAAAATGATTGCTCCACGTAAATAAGGGTGAACCAGAACACAGTCATCTGGTTAGTCCAGAAAATCTCAAACCCTGAATTTGGATTAAGGTAATTCTAGAGTGCTTCTCTCCCCAGACACCTGGCAAAAGAAGTAGAAAATCCTCCTTGAAGAAAGATAACATCATCTTAGACCTCAAATTTCTGCTAAGAACTTTTACAAACAATGTTTGACATACAATAAAAAATTACTAGACACACAAGGAGCTAGGACTCCATAAGCGAGAGCCAGCAGAAACAAAAGACAATAGATCGCCCTAAAGGGAATGAAAATATTTGAATTATCAAATTTTCCTTTGATATTATCTTATTGTTTTGGTGTCACAAAAATGTCAAATAAATGTTTGATGTAAAATAAAAAGCAAAACACAGAGCTAGAAATATACCACTATTGTGTTGGTGGTATCTGAGAGTGTCAGGCTATGGTATTTGTTTCATCTTTTTTCATTTCTGTATTTTCCAAATTTTCTTTAATGGGAATTTATACTGGAAGACATAAGTAAAAGAGGAAGTGAGAAAGAGTACACCCAGAGTAGGGCTGTATTCACAGGTGTGCAACCCCTGTAGTTGCCCAGGGTCCTGTACTCAGAAGGGCTTCACACCTGGTTCAGTGCTCCGCTGTTACTATCTTGAAATTGTTAATAATTTTTTAACAAGGAGACCTACATTTTCTTGTTGCACTTGACGCAGCTATGTATGTAGCCAGTCTTGACCCAGAGGTTGTTAAATGCTGATCTGTTGACGCTTTTGTCAATAGCCACTGGACTTGCTCTAGTTTCCCCACTTCCTCCTGAAAGGCATCTGGTTTCCAAACTGGAGGTGCACCCAAACAGCTGCAAGCATGTTGGGGTGTAGTGGAAAGTGCCCTGGATTAGGAGTCTGCAGACTTCTAGTTCTGTCACTAGCTGGTTGTATGACTAACTCTCTGTAATTCATTTCTTCCATCTTTAAAGCCATTGGAATCACATATGTGAACAGTGCAGCTAGCTCACCAGGATTAGAATCAAGAATATTTATTTAGTGCCTACTCTGTGCACGAGACCAGGTGCTCTAAGATTCACTGCAAACTATGATGTGGTTGTAGTCTTCCACCGGATTTGCCAGTCATTTTCCAGGATATTTCTCTTTGCTTTCTGTTTTTCTTTTTTAAGTTGCAGAAAAGGAGTTTATTAGAAGTAAAAATATATTTCAAAGAAGCAGAAGCGGGCCCAGAAGTAGAGAATGGCTCAAGGGCCATTATTAGAAAAAAAAGTACACTCCTAAGAATTTGGAGCGGGCCGAGCAAAGGAAGCTCAAAAGGCCTCTCCTTGCCTTCTGGATTTACTGACTTATCTGAAACCCAAGTTCTATCTGTAATGATCAGAACCTGCTTCACTGCTGCATCAGAAATCCCTTACAAAGGAAGTATGGTGCGTTTCCTAGAGGCTGGGCCACGGGGCAGAGTGTGCAGGTAGCAATCCCTACCATTTACTGAATGGGTACCAAGTGCCAGGTTCTATGCTAGGTTCTTTATGGTCCTATTTAGTCCCTTAAAGTGGATTGGTAGTATTCTTATCCCTCGTTTTCAGATAGGACCCTGAAGTTTAAAGAGGTTAAGAAACTTGCTGCTGTTATACTAAGAGGTCTGACACCACAAGCGCATGCTCTTGACAGTTCCATTAGACCAACCCCATAACACAGAGCCGTAGCTGCTGGCTCTTCAGTCCAGAACAGTGCACCAAGTCTAGTTCCCCCAAGGTCAGATGGCAGGGGAGGATGGAGGATGCAAGGGAAAGACGCTAACGGAGAATTTTGCAGGGGCTGGGAGCAGCGCTGCGAACGCAGCCTGGAGCCTTAGTGGGCATCACAGTTTGGGAAAACCCACCCGAGCAATCCTGGGGTCCAAGAGCTCGTCCTGTACCCGAACCAACACAAAACCGACCCGCTCTGCTCCCACATTTGCCATTCAGGCAAAACTGCGAGAGCTGGAAAGAGCGGCTGACGCTTTCAGGCGCGAGGTCCACACCATACCCTTCCGCAGCTTCCCACCTCCTCCAGACACACGTGTTTAAAGAGTCCCTGCACCTCCACATCGCACCCCACCAAAGCGCGGCCGCCCTGCGCCGCTGGCCTCAAGTTTCCTTCAGAGGCGGGCGCGCACCACTGCAGCGGCGACGGCGACCCGGCACCCGACCCAGCACCCGGCGGTGCCCCGCCACCCACCTTTCCCAGCCCCCAGCTGCCGCGGCAGTCTCCGCCCGCCCGGGAGGGCGTGCTCCGAGGCAACGGATCCGAGAGGGTGGGGCGCGGAGAGGGAGGGTACCCCCGCGCGCCGCTTCAGTGCTCGCAGTGGCAGAGGCGGCGGCGGCGGCAGCAGCAGGTGGAAAGAGCTCCGCTGCCACAGCTGCTCGGGCGGGAGCAGGCCCGCTGGGCTGGAACCTGTACCCAGCCGGCTCCGAGTCCTAGTTTCGGGGAACTTGGGTGACCGAGGCAGGTCGGCCAGGGCAGCAGCTGGGGCCGGGCGCGCCTAGGGGTGCGTAGCAGCCTTAGAAGCCACGTCCGGGGCACTGATCTGAAGGGACCTGGTTCTTCCCGGCTACCCGAAGACCCGTTCTCCCGGGAAAGAGCCGCTGCCGGCTCTGGGATTTGGGAGGAGCTCGGCGTGCGCCCTGAACCTCGCTGGATGCTCTCCGTTTGCGCCCCGGTGGCGAGCGAGGGTCCTGAGCGGCGCGCTCGCCTCCCGTCTTCGGCTTAGGAGCGCAACGCACCGGGATTCCGGGAGACGGGAGCTTCTCGCTCGGGCCTCGGCGGAATCCTCGCACCCCTGGCCGTGCTCGCCCGGAGGGGTTCGCTGGTTGGCATTCATCTGCAGGAGTTCTCTACTGATCTGGCTGCTGCTTCTTCGATTTGGAGACGTTCCCGCCAACGACCCTTGACGCACCTTTCTCTGTGCGGGCGGGCTGGCGTCCCAGGTCGCCCGAGCCTGTGGGAATCCTGTCCCTATCCACGGACCCTTGAGTCTCTCTCCGCGTGGCGTGCCGCCTCCCACTGGCTTGGAGGGGAGGGTGCCGACGTGGCTCCTTTCTGTCCTCTTTTGAAGGGAGAGCGTTCCTCGAGACGGAGCACTGGCCTCCTAGGGGCTCTTCTGTGTGTGGCGGGATTGGGGTGCGGGCGGCCCGGCCGCCGGCCATGGCCTTCACTTTTGCTGCTTTCTGCTACATGCTCTCGCTGGTGCTGTGCGCTGCGCTCATCTTCTTCGCCATCTGGCACGTGAGTAACCGGCCGTGGCTTCTAACTCTTTTTCTTTCGCCCCAAATGCGCCCCTGTTCACCTCCTTCCCCAATTTCTCTAAAATGCCATCTCACCGTCTCCCCACTGCGAGTGTGGGAGGACTGGCAGGCCAGTCACGACGCACATTCTGGGTGTCGCTCCCTGTCCCGGGGCGGGAGCAGTTCGTGGCATCCCCAGGCCCGGGGCGCCGGGCGCGCCCTCGATGCCCTGGCCACTGGCTGGAGGCGGAGGGACCTCTGGTTCCCGGGACGAGGCACTCTTGCCAGGGCCTGACCGATGTCCCTGGCCCCAGGAGTGGCGGCGACAATTCCTGTACCCCTCTATTTCCCCTGCCCCCACCTCTTCTGCCAGCAGGAGGAGAAGCTTCGCGGTCAGCCCGGCAGTCAAGTAACTATAACAACTAAACATTTAAAATGTCAGCATCTGCGGCGGATTGCATTTAGACATAATTGGAGATAAAGTGGAAAGAAGACGGGAGTGTCTTTTAAGAGGAAGCGGGGAGAGGCTGGGTCAGGGAGGGGAGGGACCAGGTCCTGGTGGTAGATGTGGGAGAAGGCGGGAGAAAAGTGAGGAGAGCCGGGAAGGACAGGGGTGGAGGAGGCCATGGAGGAAAGTCATGTAGAGCGAGGCTGAGGAGGGTGTTTCCGCCTTCACTTTTCTGGGGTCTGACCCATCCATCTCCTGAAGACCCCCATAGGAGGCAACCCACCCTTCCCCCCAAGACCTCAGCACCCCCAGGGGGCATCAGCTTTCTCGCCACCCTTCCAGAGGGCTACCCAGGCTGAGGGCGGTAATGGTGGGGCCCATAATGCAGGTATCATGTAGGAATAGGAGATGGGATGATTCTGGATAGAAGTAGGGAGAGAGGCAGAGAGTGGAAGGAGGGACGGTGGTCTCCTTAGCAAGACTGTGCAGCACGTGGCAAGTCCATCAAACCCTCAGGGCTTCTTTCTCTGAGGCTGTTTATGCTCTCCGTCCTCACAGTCAGAGCGTTGGTGGGCAGAAAGGCTAAGTCAGGTCAAGCGACTTAGGAGCACCACAGAGCACAGCCTTGCCCCACTCAGCAAGTCCTGGTGACAGGGAAGGACCCTGAGATGAATTCCTTGAGGCTTGGTTCTGGGGAGCCTTAGCGAGCACGCGTGCAGTGGGAGATGACATGGAGCGAAGACCAGAAGAAAGTTTCAGGGTGGGTGACATGTGGTGTTTGGTATCAGTGCTTTCTAGAGTGAGAGGGTTTATCTTAAAATAGAACTAAGCAGGTAGAGCAGCTCTTGTTAGAAGGAGGAGAGGGAACCTCTGGGGAGCCAGGAGGCTTCTAACCATGTCACCTTAGGGAAGAGGCTTGCTTGTCACCGTCCACATCTGGAAAGTGAGAAAGTTGACCTGGGTGATCTCCACGCTTCCCCTACTGTCCAAGGTGGGGTAAGTCCATGAGTCAGTTGATTTAGGCATCTGGGGGTGAGAGAAGGACTTCAGACAGGAATTTCCTGGCTGATCAAAATCGTTCAAGTGAGACGTGATGGGTTTTGCACGCTCTCTCTCTTCCTACACCCCAGAGCTCTGGATCTAGGCTACTGAGTCTAATCTGTGGTAGAGAATGGAGCCTTGAAGTCGTTGACAGTTGTTATGGGAAGAGAAAACTTTCCCTAATTTAGAGTAAAAAGGGATGCAGAGTAGATCGTGCCCAGTGGCACAGCAGACCCCCGCTCATGTGTTTTAAAGAAGCTTCCTCTGCTTCTTTGAATGTGGGGAGATACCTGCATTCTAGAAAGCTAACTACAGTGCCCCCCTTTTCCAGAAACACTTCATTTGCTGTTTCTTTGTGTGTTTGTCTTGGCCAGAGAGTGGCAGGTACCTGAGAGCCCCATCAAGCTGTCAGGCATGGAGTTCTCTGAACTAGCCCCTGAAGCAGAGAAAGAATAATTTTCTCTCAGGGAAGATAAATAATTTAAGAGCAGGTTAATTAAATGGACAGTTTGTGCTGCTGGTAGACTAATAGACATTTGAATCAAAACCCTGTGTTACCGTGACCCCGTGTTGGCCTCTGCCCTCCTGGTCCCCAAGTCTCACTCCCTTGTCCAGCTGAATGGGCCAGGTTCCAAGTCTGGGTCAGGTCCTGACCTGAGTCCCCAGTGGAAGTGACAGGATTCCAATTTCTAAGAATAAAAAGAATCTGTGCTCTTTGAATTCAAATTACAAGAACACTTCCCGAGTCTCAGGCCCTCTTCTTTTCCTAGCCTTTTCCTTCTCCCTCTCTCCAAATCGAACTTCCCGGAGCCCCACCGCAATGATTTGGCTCCTGAATATCGGGAGGGGGAAATCGGAGACTCATGGATTTCAGTGCACATGTTATATGTGTGGGCATTGGTTCTACGTTGGTAATTATCTCAGCCAAAATTTAGGAGAGCTAGTTCTATGTTAGACTCTATGTTTGCTTTCTTTCCAGCTTCTGATATTCCTTGTATATTTCTTGATCTGATGAACCATATTGATTGCTTAGCATATACTGACATCCCAAATAAGGAACCTTGGGCACTTAACAATGTACAACAATTAAAAGGCCTGCCCCACAGCCATGTCTAGATTGTAAGATAGGAACAGGGCACATTTTCTTATTTAATTGTATGTTCCTACTTAGGGGTGATACTGGTAGCTCCTATTTACTGAGTGTGTACAGCAGGCCAGTTCTAGGCACTAAGGACCTCTCAGGTGGACCTCCAATTGTTTACCTCCCCTTCTCCCGGCTGGAGGTCTGGGAGCAAGGACGGATGTGGCCAGCCAGAAGCACAACACTCCTTTCAACTCCTGTTTTTTACTGTGAAAATTTATCTGCATTTGTTTTCCAATGAAAATATTTCAAATTGCCAATTAATTTATGTCAGCCGCTATCTTTGAGTACATTTATCACATTTGGAAGATGCAGGAATAAAACTGAAGGTTTTTTTTTTTTTGGCTTTGCATACCTTCAGGCACATGGCCTCTTATCACCCAGATAGCCCTTTAGTCCTCACAACTGACATTTTACAAATGAGGACACTGTGGATCAGAGAGGTTATGAAACTTGCCCAAGGTTGCACAGCTGATATGTATGAGAGCTTGGATTATGGCTAAGTCTGAGACTTCTATGCCCACATCCTTTTTCTAACTCTAGTCACTGTCTTTGGATTGCTTAACTTTGATAATGGTGGATAATGTTTTTATCTAAAGGATTACCTTTCTCTGTATAAATATTTGGAATTGGAATTTCTGATTGGCGTTATAACAACAACAAGAAGACACCAAACATACTATTGTATATATCCTTTTAAAAAACAGGAAATTGTATCTCATTTTTTCAAAATTACTTTTTCTGCTTTTAAAATGACACAGGTTTATTGCTGAAAATTTTGAAAATACAGGGACATCAAATGAAAAAAAATCACTACTAATCTTATCAGCCAGAAAAGATTTGAGTATCTCCTAATCAGTGTGTTTGTGTATATTTCTAAAAATTGCATGTAGATGTTTAGAAGAAAAAAATAAGTGTCCTGAAGGGTTTCCGATGTGAGTGATGTCAATTTCCAGCCGACATAAAGTGAACAATGTTCACCCACAGGAGCCCTCGGAGCTGCAGTTTGTTTGAGCCTCTTTGCAGACTGTCATTTATATAAACACAGATGAACCCATTCTTTGAAAAGATCAAAGATTCATTTCCAGGTTTTTAACTTTTAAAGTTTTTTTTATATGTAGAATCACATTTTAAAACTCTGAATTATGATAACATACAAATAAAATAAATTCCCACCAATATTTCTTTGGATTCCCAGCAGCATTTGTTATCAGAGAGTTTTAATGGGCCCTGATGGGCTAACAAATACATATTCCCTCAGAGGCCTTTTTGCAAGGGGGAAAAAAAAAAAGTCTTTACCGTTGAGACTTTCAGCCAGTTCCTACCCTGTCACAGACTCAGCCACTGGAAACCAAGTAACTGCTCCGTTTCTCAAATTATCCATCTGGAAGCAAAAAATGGGTCTATGTAAAATGTTGGGTGCCTGGGGTTGGCAGTAGCCTTTTTTTTTAAGACCCCACCTGAACCTGCTCAGATGAGGCTGCGGAACGCTTGGCTGTGCCTCACCTGGTCTCCACTTTTCGTTCCTTTGAGACATCTGCACCCTTCTCTGGCATTGCATTTTCACTTGTGACCTCTGCGCTTCCAGCCTCCCCTAGCCCACTCCTCTGTCATCCCCCAACCTCCTTCTCCATGGCCTCACAGTTGTCGTGGAAGGAAACTCCGTGAGAGCAGTGACCTTTTCTGCTTCACCAGAGCCTAGAACAGTGCTTGGCATGTGGAAGGGGCTTGGTAAAGACTCAGATAATTTCGCGTTCCCTTCCAGCTTGGCCCACTTCTGGCTGACGTGGTAATTGATTTCTGATTGGCGTCTGGCTACCTCTCAGGGACTGCTCCCCAGGCAGTTTGGGCACATGTGTTTTCTGCTGTGCTCAGGCACTTTGAAACCTTGGAAACTGTAGTTGTTAAACAAAAGAAGACTGGCCGTTACCGGGCATACAGAGCCCGTCTTGATGAGAGTGGAGCTGGTTCTCTTCAGAGGCACAGCTTGGGACAATATGGCTGTTCCCGGAGAAAATGCTTTGTTAAGGTGTAATGTCTGTGCTGGCTTGTGCCACCTCACCCTTGCTGGTGTTGAGGTGCTGGCTGGTGATTTTCAATAAACTACTGAAGAGAAAGTTTCTGTCATCACTCTGTTCCCACCACAGTCATGCAGAATTCAGAGACGGCCTAGAACAAGCCAGCACCGGCCCCCGTCCCAACGACCTGGTGATATTTCGAGGCCTCATTGGGGTTGGACATTGCAGAGGCACACTAACAATTTGCTGTGACCTTGGAGTTGAACAAATGTTAAGGCAGTGACTGTTGGAGGCCTTTGCAGGTAATTGGAGGGTACACGTGTACTGGCCCTGGAGCCATGCCTGGGCAGAGT